TTTTTTTTTTTTTTTTTTTTTTTTTTTTTTTGCACGCCCGGGTGCCCTGCCGGGCGTGAGAATCTTCCTAGTTTGACAAGTGCTTGTCTTGGAGCAGATTCTGAATTTCAGCTAACAGTTACTGAGAGGTGCTTCTTGCTGTGAAATTCTGCTTAATTAGGAAGAATGCTTAAAATTTAGAGAAAACTGCAGTGCAGTCAGGGTTTGAGTTTGAAAATGCACTTGAGGCAAAAGGGCCGGTAATGTTGAAAGTATACAACCTAGGTTTGGGGTCCGGTGGGGTCACGTGGGGGTGTGCTGTGTTCGCGGGATTGCCTGAAGTGCATTTTCAAACTGTTTCCATGACTGCGCCTAAGTTACCCCTAAAATTTTTGGAATTTAAAACCAAGGTATAGGCTTGCCAAAAATTGACTTTTTCTTTTCCCCACGCAAAAAAGTAGGTGTCAAAATTTCAAGTATTGCTTCAAAATTTCAACTTTTACTTCAAAATTTGAGCTTTTTTGTAGACAATTTGTACTCGGCAGAGTCAGCTCCTCACTGTTTCATATAAGGCAGAGATTCACCTCAGTTACTTTGCTTCCACATAACAACCAGGTTGTTATGAGGAAGCAAAGTAACAGTTGTGAATCTCTTGAGTGCCTTGAGGCTAAGGTAGCTAGATATCCATCCTAGTACCTTTCTCGTCTGCAGATGGATATGAAATTCAAAATCAACTTGACAGATCAATCATGAGCGCGCCGCCAACTTTGTTCTGGACGTTTGAGACTTTGACCTTTATTTTTAAAATTTGCCTTAAAGTTTCAACCTTTTACCTCAAAGTTTGAACCTTTTACTCTGACCTTTATTTTTTAAATTTGCCTTAAAGTTTCAACCTTTGACCTCAAAGTTTGAACCTTTTACTCTGGCCTTTATTTTTTTTTTTAATTTGCCTTAAGTTTCAACCTTTNAATTTGCCTTAAAGTTTCAACCTTTGACCTCAAAGTTTGAACCTTTTACTCTGGCCTTTATTTTTTTTTTTAATTTGCCTTAAGTTTCAACCTTTGACCTCAAAGTTTGAACCTTTTACTCGACCTTTATTTTTTTAATTTGCCTTAAAGTTTCAACCTTTGACCTCAAAGTTTAAACCTTTTACTCAGAAATACTGACTACAACAAGTTTGAGGCCCAAAGTGGAATGTACCCATCTTCTCCTGCGCAGCTGGCATGGTCCTATGGCTGCACCTCCCCCAAATTTTGAATTTCGGACAGGTATAATGACCATCCCTTCTGTTGAGGGGAAGGTGGTCATCCTAACACTCAAGGTTTGTCTTTTCCCCATAAATTTTTCAGATTTGGAACGGAGGCTGGGAATTTACCGAGAACAAGGTAGCTGCATGCCCGTACTCGATTTTTTCTCTTCTAATGGGGCAAAAACGATGGATCTAGACATTTGCACACCGCAGAAAGACCTTGAGGCCGCTGCGGCAGCTGCGGCTGCTGCAAGTCTGAGCCTGCAGGGATTGCAGAGTCCGGTGGCGAATGATGGCTTGACTCCAAGATCTCCACTGTCAACTCAGAAAAAAGTCAGCGGGAAGGATGGCAGCTCAGCTCACAACTCCAATCAGAACACAAGAAGTCATACACCCACCTCGCCTGGGAAACCTCGCAAACAGGGTTTGAAAAGTAACAACAATTCCTTCAGCAGCGCGAAGGAGAAAAAGGACAGGAAGCAGATCGCCACCCCTCGCCATGTTGACCTTGGGATTAAGACATCGAAACTGGCTGACCCAATTATTGAGCAGCTGGGCAGTCTCAACAGCTACAGCAGTCGAGTAATAGAAGAAGAGAGGAAAGCCCCAATTAAAGCGGATCCGGCGCAGCTGGGCTTAGAGTCTGCGGTAATTATCTTTCTGATCATGGAAGAGAGGAGTCTGAGGGCCCTGGAAGGGATAGAACTGCAAGGGAGCTTTCTTTCATTTACTTTGCTCTATGTGACCCTCCCTCTCTCAATATGATTGTCTGTCTGTCTGTCTGGCTGTCTGGCTGGCTGACTCTCTCTCTCTCTCTCTCTCTCTCTCTCTCTCTCTCTCTCTCTCTCTCTCTCTCTCTCTCTC